CCCGCATCGGGCTCCCTGCTCGGCGGGGAGCCTGCTTCTCCCTCTGACCCTCCCCCCTCTCATGCTCTCTGTCTCTCGTTCTCTCTGTCTCAAATAAATAAATAAAATCTTTAAAAAAAAAAAAAAAAGAACAGCCATCAGGATGTGTCTTGCCCTCCTGTCTGCCCACTTGGCCAAAATGGCCATTCCCGTGGGCCTGCTGAGGGGCCTCACAGTGTCCTGACCAGCCCAGACATGGCCCACGGAGCACCCTTCCAGAGCTCACCACGAATGCACACAAGAGCACCTCTGGCTGCCCCAGGGCTCGGGGCTCAGACCTCCTGAGGGCAGGCGGCCTCCCCACAGAGGGCAAGGGCCTGTGCCAGAGGGACTTCTTTGTGCTCAGCCGGGTTTGGGCTTTGTCTTGTTCCTATTTAGTGAGCTGTGATTCCCTTCTGTTACTCACAAGCCTTCAGGAGAGTTGTGATAACATTAAAAAAACAAAAATGTTTAATCTTCAGTCAAGTCCAAAAAGTAGGTACATTTGCAGGCTACATTTTAATGAAACTATACATGAATAACAAACATCGGCACAAAATTCCATTCCTCAGAAGTAAAAGCATTCCCCCAAATAATGATCACATCAAGGAAGAAATGAAAAAATGATTATTGAGAAATAATGAAAATCAGAACACTATGTGCATTTAAATCAGAACACAAATGTACATCAGTACATTTATAACTGTATTTGGATTGAAATTAGTGATTTAAATGCTTTAATTACTTTTTAAAAATCATCAAAAAATTAAGCATTCAGATCAAGACATGAAGAGGAGCTCCTAAGAAACAGAAAATCTAGAAACAGCGGAAATGACAGCAGGAATACCCTGGAAGCAGCTCCACGAAACATCAACAAGACCGCAAAGCTGCGGACAGTGACTCTGGGCAACAGAAAACATGGGGAGATGAAACTGGGAATGAGAAAAGCAACATCAGAAAGACCAGGAAGAGGTGAGAGTTGCCGCCCGGTCACCAAGATCGCAGTCATGGGAGAGCTCTCGCGCAAAGGTGTTTTTAAATGACTCAGTAAGAAGCGGAAAATCTAAATGGACCAATAAGCAAAGAAGAAAAATCTAGAAGTTACAAAACCATTATGCTCTTCACAGCAAGTTCTTTCAGATTCCAAATGATTCTTAATCCCTATGCCACATGAACAAGGTTGAAAAAAATGAAAAGATGCTTGATCGAGGTTATAAACCGGTCACAACTCTGATGTCAAATCCCCACACAGAAAACCCACAGACAGAAAACCAAAACCGGAACTCACATAGGAACCGAGTCCCGAGATCCTGAGCGAAGCCCCATCCCAGCAGACGCCAGGGCAGCCAGCCGGAGCCCAGGGCTGCGAGGCCTCTGGGCGGAGCAGGCCGAGGGCCCCAGCCGAGGGCACCCCATCCCGGCTGGACCGGGGTCACGGAAACTGAACACGACAAGCTCGTTCTCGATTTTTCTTGTTCTTTAGAAAGGACTAGAAGGGTCCTCCCAGTGCCCAGCCTGCGTGCCCCCCGCCCCCAGGTCCACCCGCTGGCTGCCGATGCCAGGGTTCTGAGAGTTCCAAGGGCAAAGACAAAGGCAAAATTAACAAGTACACACACACTGTCGATCTCGTTTAAAATGGCCCTTGGTACACAGTGTGGTTGTAGACTCAGAACAGAACACACTGAGAAACTTAGCAGCCCGGGACCCTCCCCCGGAGCGCGGCTGTGTGTGGCCCTGGGGTCGCGAAGGTGCCGGGGCCGGCAGGGTCTGAGGCCACAGCCTGGCGGAGCGCGTCCAGCAGCTTCTATCTCAACAGTTTAACAGCACCCGGCCCTTGACCCAAGGGTTTCCCGCCGTGACCCCTGCGGCAGGTCTGCCCTGCCCTGGCTGCCGTGGGGGGGAACGGTGGGGGCCATCAACATGCACAACAGCTCAACCCCGCTTAGGGAAACCCAAACGACCCCCTGGGACGGGCACATGAACATATCCACCACACATTTCAGAGGGAGACCCGGGAAAACGTTGACAGTGGCTGACTTTGGGAATGGGGCCAGGAGCTGGGGCTGAGGGGCCTCACAGTGTCCTGACCAGCCCAGACATGGCCCACGGAGCACCCTTCCAGAGCTCACCACGTCTGGCGTTACATCCTCCTGGGGTATTTTTAAGTTTGCCATGAGTACATGTTGTTGAACAAAGAAAACGGGTCTTAAAGCACATCCTGCTTTGAAGGCAGATGCTAAGGGACTGTGAGAAACGTGAGCTGTTGCAGGGGGAGCTCCCTTTGGTTCACAAACTCCTGCCACTGTGCAAGAGTAGTTCCAAACTTCAGTCCCCAAAGAAGGCTGAGGGCCAGGGCCAGTCCTGCAGGCAGCGTTCCGGAGCCCCGGGCACAGCGGTGGCCCTGACCGCAGTGGAGCTGGCCCCTCCCCAAGGATGGCCAGGGCCTCGCTGACCCTGGCCCACACCCTGCAGCAGGGAATCCAGGCCTCTCTGTGCAAGGCTTGGTGGCCTTAGGCTGGCCAGGGGCTGGAGCTCCTGCTAAGCCTGGTGTCCTGCAAAGTCTGGGCTTGCTGGTGGTGACACACAGGGGTGCCGGCTGCCATCCCAGAGACGCCACCCTGACTTGGGCCCCGACCAGGGTCCCCCTAGGAGCAAGCTGGCTTGAGTGAGAGTCTGCACCTCTCCCGACGAGGTGCCGGAGGGACGGGGAGGTGGGAAGGCCCCAGGGCTCCTGCCACTGCGGACGCAGGGGTAGCTCTGAGCCCCTGGAGGAGGCCCCAGACTGACCCGATTCTCCAAAGGACAATGGAGCCACACTGCGTTTGTGACTCTTGGCAGGAGTCACAGAGCCAATAAGGCTTGGGGACAAGTGCCTTTGGCAGCCACCGCATAAGGGCATCCCCGGTGGCCCAAAAAGGCAGCCCTGGCCCCCCGCTGTGGGATGTCACACAGGGGACAAGGCCCTGTGAGGCCAGTCCTCCTCAGCAAGTTTCTGGTGACAAGCATGTGCCTTGGCAGCTGGTGGGAGCTCAGGACTGGTAGGGACTAGGGGTTTCTCCAGCTGCCCCTCTGGACGTCATTGTCCTCTTCCCACCATCCCCCCAACCACCTCCACAACCCCCCCGCCGCCCTCTGCTTGTCCTGAGCTCCCTCTTCAAGGTCCCCCTGGAGGCTGAAGGAGTCCAGGTGCCATGAAGGACCCCAGGGACATGCTTGCTCACAGGGCTTTGCACCCATGAGCTCCATGCGGGGGGCTGGTGGGTGGCAGCCACTGCTGGGGGGGCTAACCCCCCACCCCGTTTTCCAAGTGTGGACTTAGTGGCCCAGAGAGAAGGGCCTTACCTGAGGACACACAGCAGAATGGGGAACCGGGTCTTGGTTTACTCAGACCTGAGGGACGGAAGCGGGCCCGAGAGCATTGGCGTCAGCAGGCCAGGCCCTGCCTGCGCCCTGCGGGCTCCCTTGGCTCCCGGGAGCCCCGCAGCCAGCTGGACCCGGCTGCCCAGGCCCCTGGCCTCACCTGCACTCCCAGGCGAGCAGTCCTCGGGGTAGGTGGGCACCTTGGTGAAGAGGAGGTCTCGGCTCCCGAGACCACAGCGCTCCTGGCAGCTCTCACTGAGCAGACGCTTCAGCATCTGGTTCTCCTTCATGAGGCGCACCTGCTTCTTCAGGTCTGCGTTCTCACTCATGAGCCTGTTCATCAGCTCGCTGCCCTCGGCCATGGCCACGTCTTCAGGTGCTCACGTGTGGGCCTGCGGCCCCATGGAGGTGGAAATCCAGAGCCCGCAGGCGCTCCAGAAACAGCCCAAGGCCCCGGAGTTCCACGGCTGTCCGGCCTTCCGCAGCCTTGTGATGTCGCCCGCCCTTAAAGAGCCGGTCGGTGCCAGACCACCCACTCCACCCGCACACCTTGCCTCCGGGGCCAGCGCCCACAGAGCGACACCTCCGGCCGAGGGGGCTGCCAAGCAGAACACAGGGAGCGGCTGGGAGAAGTGGGGACGGGGCTCGTGGGGAGGGCAGCTCAGCCCGAGTCGGGAATGCTCCAGCCCCTCCTAGGAACAGCCAGAGCACTGGGCTGAGGCGCAGGGCGGGCCATCCACGCCCTGTGGCGTGCACAGGCCTCAGGGGGACTCTGCCTTCACTCTGCGTGACTTGTGGCGTCCCTCCCCATGAGCCATCAGCCCTCCCATGGTTCTCATGTGGCTCCGCACTCTGTGGGACCGGCAGGGTCCCCCAGAACCTGGCCCGGTGTCTGGCGTGCAGACAGGTATTAGGGTGCACACCTGGGATGCACACTTAAGGAAGGAGGGGCAGTGGGGCCGAGGGAGATGAGCTCGGGTGCCCCCAACAGCCCCCAGACCTGTGGACTCCAGGCGGGCTCTGAGGGGCTGGCAGTTGGAGGCCGCCTGCTGACCACACGTCCCTTGGAAAGAAGGCTGTGAGCCCTGAGTGTCTGGAACACTGACCGTTACTGGACCTAACTGAAGGCTCCCCTGACCAGGCACAAGGGCCGTGTGGACCAATCACACGCAGACCTGTGCTCAGAGTCCTGCCAGGGTGTGGATTTCGGGCCCCGGTTAGTGGGACCACCGCGGAGCCCACCCCAGCACCTGCTCTGCCAACCAACTACTCAGGAGGGTAAGTGAACTCAGCACTGTCTCCTGGCTCCAAAGTTCTTGGTCGAGCTTCTCGGCAGCCGTGAAGCAACAGAGGGGTCATCTCCTGACCCTCTTGGGACGGGCTATCGTCCAAACAAGGAGAAGGCACGTCCTCCATCCCCTTCAGCCCCGACACCACGCGGCGTCAAGGGCACTCGGTGCAGGGGCTGGGCTCCGGGCCGAACAAAGCCATTATCTCCCCCAGACTGCCAAGTTAGCATAAGGTCGCTTCAAGAAGAGAAAGTCGGGTTTTGCGGAAAAGAGGATTTCTACGTCCCAAACGTACCTTATACAACCTAAGAAAGACCCGGTGTCTGGACCCACAGCCTCTCACACCAGACAAGGACAGCATGTGGACAGCCCCCACTGAGCAAGGGTGTGCAGGAGCTCCCAGGACTCCCAGAGGAGAGTAAGGCCTCCCCCCACACTGGCCCCTCCCGTGGCATTTAAACGCCACTTCCTACTACCCCTAGAAAACCCTCTGGACACTGTATCCCCTCCAGCCACAGGCCCATCACCCTCTGCCAGTTTTCTGATCATGATGCAACATCCTTTTATCACTAGATTCAACTTAATACTAGTGTGTTAAGTATTTTCTGTGTGTGAGGGAAACGGATCTGAATGTCCTTTTCCTGTAACGTCCTGTCTGGTTTTGCTATCAAGGTCATGCTGACCTTATAAAAGGAGTTGCAAAGTAGTCCCTCCTCCTCTAATGTCTGCGTATTTGTGTTAGGTTGTTACTGCTTTCTTCACTTTTTGATAAAATTCACCGGGAAGCCATCTGAGCCTAGAGCTTTCTTCTGGAAAAGCTTTAGATTTCAAATTCAATTTCTAAAACAGATACAGGGCTATCTAAATTCCCCACTTCTTTCCTCGACCACCTAGATGGCAACTGTGTCTTTCAGGGCGTTTGTTTGTCTGTGCTGCGGCATGCTGGCGAGCAGCCCGGGACATTCCCTCCTTATACCGGCTCTGTGGTCTCACGCCTCTGAGCAGACGGATGCGCGGCCATGGCAGGAAACGGAGTGCGAACACGGAGCAGCAGCGTTGGCAGGTGGGTGCGGCAGGATGTAAGGATCCGCAAGCGGGGCAGTGGGAGTGGGCGGATGCAGAGAGGGGGCGGGATGGTGGACTCAGGCTGACCACACCAGGGCAGCAGGCTGGTGACCAGGCTGGACAGCCGGCTTATGTCTGCAGGACCTGAGGCGACGCACCTTTTCTATGCCTGTGGTAGGTTTTCTTTCTTTCTTGATCAGACCAGAGGCTTGTTAATTTTCTCAAAGCATCAACTTCTCGTTTTACTGATCTTCTCCGTTAAGCCTCCTACAGCATTTGACTTGTACTCTTTTATCTGGTTATTTCCTTCCTTCTACTTTGGTTTTAGGTTTCTTAAGGTGGACACTTAGATCACTGGTTTGAAACCTGATTTACAGCATTAACATGTAAGCCTGCAACCATTTTTGTAAGCACTGCTTTAGCTACATCCCACAAACTCTTATCTCATTGTTTTCGTTTAGCTTGAAACATTTCCCTTGTACTTCCATTTTTGACCATTGTTTATTTAGAAGTGTATTGTTCAATTTCCAAATATTTGGGATTTTCTATCTCTTTTAGTTACTGATTTCTAATTTAATTCCATTGTGGTTAGAGAATAGTCTGGCTTCAATCCTTTGAATTTCTCGAGACCATCTCCTGACCCCGCACGTGGGCTTAGTAAATGGTCCATAAGCTCTTGAAAAGAATGAGGTGAAGTGTCCCATAAATGCCCGTTACTTCAAGCTGGCTCAAGATTTTGTCTGCAGTTGCTGAGACAATGTTGAAATCTCCCACTTTGTGTATTTATCGAATTCCCTCTCCAGCTGCACATTTTTTTCCATATTCTGAAGCTGTTATTAGGTGCATACACATTACTGTTATTAAATCTCTTTATTTCTAGTACCGTTCCTTTTCCTGAAACCTACTTTGATATTGAGACAGTACTTTTGCTTTCTTATGATTGTTTTTGTTATATATTTTTCTAAACTTGTACTTTTATCCTGTCTGTATTTTTACATTTAAAATTTCTCATGGACAACATAGCTGGCTTGTGCTTTTTCATTCAGTGTGACAGTCTCTGCCTTTTAACTTGAGTGCTTAGCCCTCTACAGTTAGTAAAATTTCTTTAATGGTTGGTGTTGGTCTTCTAGGGCTATATAACAGAAGAGCACACACAGTGGCTTAAACAACAGAAATTTATTTTCTTACAGTTCTGAAAGCTAATTAGTGCTTCTTCTGTGTCTGCTGAGCTTCACAGGTCTGTGGGCTTACATATTTCATATCTGGAAAAACCTCAGCCATTACTCAGATGGTTTTCTGCCTCCCTCCATCCCAATTTTGTGGGACTCCAATTATATGCATGTTAGACCACTCAAGATCACCCAATAGGTCGTTTGTTTTGTCTTTTAAGTATTCTGGCCACCATAGGCTGTTTCAACACTCACCTGTTCCTGGATGGCCCAAGAGCAGCCCCCACTCCTCTACCCTCCCAAGAACCAGAGGGGCATCAAAGACAGAGGTTGTCAAGCCCAGCGCATCTCACACCCACAGAAGGCCTGGCTGTGGGGCAGGTGTCTGAGGCTGCCTAAAGCCATGCAAGCTAGCTCTTCTCCACTTGTCTCAAGCATGGGCTTCAGATGCCCCCAGGGCCATCACTGTCCCTGGAGAAAGGCTGGAAATCACCTATCAGTAGGCATCGTGTAGAAACTAATGGCTCGGGCGCCTGGGTGGCTCAGTTGGTTGGGCGACTGCCTTCGGCTCAGGTCATGATCCTGGAGTCCCTGGATCGAGTCCCGCATCGGGCTCCCTGCTCGGCA